ACATCTGAAGTCTCTCAAAAGCATATGGGAAAATGTGTTCTGGTCTGATGAAACCAAGGTTAAACTTTCTGGCCATAATTCCAAAAGATATGTTTGGCGCAAAAACCACACTGCACATCACCAAAAGAACACCATACCCACTGTGAAGCATGGTGGTGACAGCATCATGCTTTGGGGCTGTTTCTATAGCTGGAACTGGGGCCTTAGTCAAGGCAGAGGGAATTATGAACAGTTCCAAATACCAGTCAATATTGGCACAAAACCTTCAGGCTTCTGCTAGAAAGCTGAACATGAAGAGGAACTTCATCTTTCAGCATGACAACGACCCAAAGCATACATCCAAATCAACAAAGGAATGGCTTCACCAGAAGATTAAAGTTCTGGAATGGCCCAGCCAGAGCCCAGACCTGAATCCGATCTTAAATCTGTGGGGTGATCTGAAGAGGGCTGTGCACAGGAGATGCCCTCGCAATCTGACAGATTTGAAGTATTTTTTTTACTTTTTGGCCATAATTCCAAAAGGAATGTTTGGCGAAAAAACAACACTGCACATCACCAAAAGAACATCATACCCACCGTGAAGCATGGTGGTGGCAGCATCATGCTTTGGGGCTGTTTCTTCAGCTAACACTGGGCCTGTAGTCAAGCTTGATATTATCTCTATCATATAAAATACACCTATGATAAAAATGATAGACCCTTCCTTTCTTTGTAACTTACAAAATCTGAAGGGGATCAAATAATAATTTTCGCCACTGTAAGTACCGGATCACAAAGTCAGTGAGGGACAGCTCCAGAGAGGAGGTGAGTGTTCTAGCATGAACTGATTATTATTATTTTTTTTTTTAACTCGTACGTTTTTTGGAGCTTGAGGCTTTACAACTGGAACAATAGTTTGATGCACAGGTCAGCATTTCTCAACCTTTTTTCATTTCTAGCACCTTTAAAACCATGGTGCCAAACCTGCGTCCCGGGGGCACCTTTTGTTCAGCCCTCGGGACACTAACCTGTTTGCCTATTGCCCTGTTATAGCCGTGATCTCTAGCAGTTTTGCATATTAGGCCCCATGTACACAGGACACTTCTGAATGATGGAAACTGACTGCTGGAAAACGTAGATTAAAAAACGTCTGTTTAGCCGCGTTTGCGTTTAGAAGAGTTTTTTTAAAGATAATTACAGGAGAACCTCCCAAATGCCCAGAATGCACTGAAAAGTGGTTAATTATCAACTATTTCAGACTGTTTAAGAGAAATCCACAGAGTAGAAGCAGAGACAGCAGTATGTGTTGAGATTAGCTTAGGTGTGAGTTGCTCATTAACATTTCTTTTGTTTCCAAGGGTGGGAAAGGTGTCTGGTGGAGGGAGTCATTAAGGTCACCTGGCAGGGGGTCTTCATGAGGAATTTGAGGTGTGAATGGTCATTAACATATCTTTTTTTTTTTTTCCAAGGGTGGGAGAGGTCTGAGATGTGAATTGGTCATTACAATGTGTAACAAGCTTGGTAGGAACATCCTGTGTTCAGTGTTTTGTCCATCTGAGCACCTTGAAAATGCTTTGCATGTATTTTTCATGATGAAAAAAGGCTCTAGACAGCATCGGGAACTGGAAGAGTTAGAAAGCATTTTCAGACGCAAATGTTTATAAATACAATTTGCCGCCTTTAGCTGCGTTTTACAAGCATTCTGCATTTGAAACGCTGATAAAATCTACTGAATGCAAGTTTTCTGCATTTCCTTAAAACGACTGTAAACTCAACTGCCTGTAAATGACTGTAAACGACGATGTGTACATGGACACATAGAAAACATTAGGGAGAGTTCAGGGGCTGCTGAAAAAAACACTGAACAGATCCTGAACGTCAGTTTATCAGCTGCAGTGTACATGAGCCCTTAGTGTTGATTTACTAAAGGCAGAAACACTGTGCACTTCAATTGCAGTAGCTCTAGATCTGAGGGGAAGCTGTGCAATGAAGGCTTCGCTGATTTCTATCATCCAATCATGTGCAAGCCAAAATTATTTATTTAGTTTTTATTTTCCTTGCATGTGATTGGGTATTCTTTGCAAAGTGAAGCTTTACCTAATTTACTAAGCTCTGGGTCAACTGCACTTGCAGTGCACAATATATTTGCGTTTAGTAAATCCACCGCATTGTGTATCCTGTCTATGACGGTCTCAGTCATGTTCCCAGTCTCCAAGTCTTATATCGTGCCCATAGTCTCTGACCTCATGTATCATATCTTTGTCTCTGACCATCTCTGCAGTCTCTGACCATCTCATGTATCATATCTCTGTTTATGATCATCTCTGCAGTCTCTGACCATCTCTGCAGTCTCTGACCATCTCATGTATCATATCTCTGTTTATGATCATCTCTGCAGTCTGTGACCATCTCATGTATCATATCTCTGTCTCTGACCATCTCTGCAGTCTGTGACCATCTCATGTATCATATCTCTGTCTCTGACCATCTCTGCAGTCTCTGACCATCTCATGTATCATAGCTCTGTCTCTGACCATCTCTGCAGTCTCTGACCATCTCATGTATCATAGCTCTGTCTCTGACCATCTCTGCAGTCTCTGATCATCTCATGTATCATATCTCTGCAGTCTCTGACCATCCCTGCAGTCTCTGACCATCTCATGTATCATAGCTCTGTCTCTGACCATCTCTGCAGTCTCTGATCATCTCATGTATCATATCTCTGCAGTCTCTGACCATCCCTGCAGTCTCTGATCATCTCATGTATCATGTCTCTGACCATCCCTGCAGTCTCTGACCATCTCATGTATCATATCTCTGTTTCTGACCATCTCTGCTGTCTCTGACCATCGCATGTATCATATCTGCTGTTTCTGACCATCTCTGCAGTCTCTGACCATCTCATGTATCATATCTCTGTTTCTGACCATCTCTGCAGTCTCTGACCATCTCGTGTATCATATCTCTGTTTCTGACCATCTCTGCAGTCTCTGACCATCTCGTGTATCATATCTCTGTTTCTGACCATCTCTGCAGTCTCTGACCATCTCATGTATCATCTCTGCAGTCTCTGACCATCTCTGCAGTCTCTGACCATCTCATGTATCATGTCTGCAGTCTCTGACTATATACAGTTGTGTGTCAGCTGTCACTGAGACTGAATGTTCACTTAATTTTGTGAGTGGCCCTTAGGTGATATTGGGAGCCTCAAAATCAAGGAATTTGACCAGCACTGCTTTTAAAAATATGCAACATCTTAAGTCACCACAGTCTGAAATATAACAAAAACATAAATGTCACTTCAGTGGGAAAGCTGAGCCTGTGACATTGCACACAACCACCTTGATCATTATTATACAGGATTTATATAGCGGGGACAGTTTGCTCAGCGCTTTACAATATAAAGGGAGACAGTACAGTTACAATACAATAAAAAACAAGAGGGTTGAGAGGGCCCTGTCATAAGAGCTTACAATCTAATAGGGTGGGGGAAGTGGTATAAAAAGTTATAACTGTGGGGGATAAGCTGATGGAAATGATAAATGTTTAAAGTGTTACTAAAACCCACAACAGTAAAATCAGTCTGTATATGCAGCAAAGCATGCTTGTTATACTCACTGTGGAACGTAAGGGGTTAATCCTCTGCATTGTGTAAAGACACTGTTTGATCCTGACTTCTCTGATCCTCCCCTTCTTCCATTGTCCCCCTCTTATCTCCTGATGAGGAGCATGGCCCTCCTATCCCTCTTGTATTGAACTGTATTGTTGCTGTATTGTCTCCCTTACATTGTAAAGCGCTGAGCAAACTGTTGGTGCTATATAAATCCTGTATAATAATAATAAGACATATCATGTGCAGTCACTCTGCACATGCTCAGTTTTGTGTGTATTGGTAGTTTTTTTTTCTTGGGAGAGTGCATGTGATCAGCACAGAGTCAATCAGTACTGTCCAGACAGAGGTCAGGGGTCCTGCATCTTCCTATAGTAGAATGAAAACTCCTCCTACTAGCTTTAACAAGTGCTCTGCTGAACACTGATATAAGTCACAAGCAAGGGCGGACTGACAACTACTGACCCTGGGCCCTTGGGCATTGCCCGAGTTTCCAAATGGTCAGTCCGCCCCTGGTCACAAGACTGTGCTAACTGCTGATGAGAAATGGTAATTAGCAGTTTACATTTACTAAAATAATTGCACTTCCATGTTCTGTGTACTGTGGGAGACCAGATATAGTGAATGCGGGGTCCGGGGAGAGCGGATATAGTGAATGCAGGGTCCGGGGAGACCAGATATAGTGAATGCAGGGTCCGGGGAGAGCGGATATAGTGAATGCAGGGTCCGGGGAGAGCGGATATAGTGAATGCGGGGTCCGGGGAGAGCGGATATAGTGAATGCGGGGTCCGGGGAGAGCGGATATAGTGAATGCAGGGTCCGGGGAGACCAGATATAGTGAATGCAGGGTCCGGGGAGAGCGGGATATAGTGAATGCGGGGTCCGGGGAGAGCGGATATAGTGAATGCGGGGTCCGGGAGAGCGGATATAGTGAATGCGGGGTCCGGGGACAGCGGATATAGTGAATGCGGGGACCAGGGAGAGCGGATATAGTGAATGCGGGGTCCGGGGACAGCGGATATAGTGAATGCGGGGACCAGGGAGACCGGATATAGTGAATGCGGGGTCCGGGGAGACCGGATATAGTGAATGCGGGGTCCGGGGAGACCGGATATAGTGAATGCGGGGTCCGGGGAGACCGGATATAGTGAATGCGGGGTCCGGGGAGACCGGATATAGTGAATGCAGGGTCCGGGGAGACCGGATATAGTGAATGCGGGGTCCGGGGAGACCGGATATAGTGAATGCGGGGTCCGGGGAGAGCGGATATAGTGAATGCGGGGTCCGGGGAGAGCGGATATAGTGAATGCGGGGTCCGGGGACAGCGGATATAGTGAATGCGGGGACCGGGGAGACCGGATATAGTGAATGCGGGGTCCGGGGAGACCGGATATAGTGAATGCGGGGTCCGGGGAGACCGGATATAGTGAATGCGGGGTCCGGGGAGACCGGATATAGTGAATGCGGGGTCCGGGGAGACCGGATATAGTGAATGCAGGGTCCGGGGAGACCGGATATAGTGAATGCGGGGTCCGGGGAGACCGGATATAGTGAATGCGGGGACCAGGGAGAGCGGATATAGTGAATGCGGGGTCCGGGGAGACCGGATATAGTGAATGCGGGGTCCGGGGAGACCGGATATAGTGAATGCAGGGTCCTGGGTTTAGTAACACTTTTAATTGTAGGTGTGATAGCTTTTCCTGAATAGATGAGTTTTCTGGGATCGACTAAAGGCAGCCAGAGTAGTGGATAGCTGGACAAATTGAGGTAGAGAGTTCCAGAGGATGGAAGAGGATCTGGCGAAGTCCTGGAGATGAGTATGGGAGGAGGAGACAAGGGAGCTTGGGAGTAGGAGGGCATGAGAGGAGCAGAGAGGGCAGTTTGGGCAATAACTTGGAGACAAGATTGGTGATGTAGCTGGGGGCTGGGTTGTGAATGGCTTTGTAGTTAGTATTTTGAATTTAATTAGCTGGACAATCAAAAGCCAGTGGAGGGATTGGAGGGAGGGGTGGCAGACACTGGGCAGTTGGTAAGGTAGAGGAGTTTGGCAGCAGCATTCATGATGGACTGAAGAGGAGATTGCCTATGAAGAGGTAGGCCTATGAGAAAGGAGTTGCAATAGTCAAGGCGAGAGATAACAAGGGAGTGAATGAGTAGCTTGGTGGTTTCATTAGTTGAGTAGGGGTGAATGTTAGAGATGTTACGGAGGTGAAGTCTACAAGATTTGGACAGTGGTTGGATTTGGGTCCGATAGGACCGGTGAGAGTCCAGGATTACACCTAGTACCTTGCTTGAGGGGAAGGACTTATAGATGTTTGATTGCTCTTGATGGAAAAGTCATGGAGGAGGACACAAGTGGGGGAATATTATCAGCTCAGTTTTGGAGAGATTTAGTGTAAGGAAGTGGAGTGACATCCATGCTGACATGTCAGTTAGTAATGAAGGGGAGAGGTGAGGAGTAGAGAGATAGATTTGGTATTGGAAGCCATGGGAGGTTATCAGGTAACCAAGAGAGGAGGTGTACATAGAGAAGAGAAGGGGTCCAAGAACAGAGCCTTGGGGGAATGGACTTTACATCAGAGGATTCCTCATCACACCAGAACCCGTCTTCACGTCAGAGGCCCCTCCGCACATCAGAGTAACCCAATCACATTGGAGCCCCCCCACCCCTCTATATGTGAGAGCCTCCCAATCACATCACATCAGAGTACCCCCATGAGAGAGTCTTCCCTTCACATCAGGGTTCCCCATCACCACAGAGTCCTCTCATCCATCTCTGATCCAGGGCAGACTGGATCCTGTGCTCAAAGGGAACCCAAAGGGCATTTCAGTTGAGAAACACTGGCATAGGTCACTTATATTAAGCAACAATCAGAAAAGGCTTTCTAATTCAATGCATTTCCAAGAGTTCCAGGCTCAGTGATCCCTCCCATTTCATCTCATGTCTATGGGTTCTGTAGCAACTCCCTATAACATGATTTGAAGCCTTCATGCACACGGGACATTTTGATAACACTGGTAACATTAGCTGTGTAAAGTTTTCTGCTTTTTTTTAGTGTTTTTGCATTAGCGTTTAGAGGAGTTTTGCCTTGATTATCGGCATTTTTCCATGTTTGTGGTTTTTTTGCATTTTTTTTTTTTTTGTGTTTTGTTTTTTTTGGGGGGGGGGGGGTTTGAGCATTTTTACAGCTAAAAAACTCCTCTAGAAAGCCCACTAGTTCTGGGTTTTTTTTTTTCCAGCCAAAAAACGTGGATTGCAGTCTATGTGCATGGACACATAGGATAACATGCTGGGGGGTTTACTGGCTGTAGAAAAAACGTCAAGTGTTCATGAGGACTAAATCATTGGCATTTATGTCTTCTGCTGTGATTATTGTCATTATTTGTAGTTTTACCAACTATTTATTTGTTGCTATAAAAAGAGAATATAACAAAAAAAAAGTTTGTCAGTGGTGATCCCTGCCCAGAATTATCGGCACATGTGTGTATTATTACTAGCATGATGGTCTTAAATTACTTGCCATGTATGCTTTGTTATGTTTTAGTTGCACGTTCTCCATGTTTTCGTGGCATTTTGCAAGCATGAATATGTGTTTAGAGGTTTTTGCTTTCATTATTATTATTTTGCAAATGATTATGCAGTTACTGGTTTTAGTTTCTTTATTATTGTTTTGCACATGATGATGATGATGCTATGAACTTCGCACAATTGTTAATGCGACTTTGCACTCTCTGGCATTCAAGTCACATTAAAGTGGCGCAGGAACCTTTTCAAAATCGCTGTGACTTGCATCACATAGATCTGAATGGGTGAATTGTCATGCGTGTTTGTGTCCAAAGTCAAATGACAAGTCTCATTCGTGTGAACGGAGCCTTAGGTGGGCATCTGGGGTGGCCAGTAAAAACACGTGGCTGAGCCACCCCCTGAGTAAAAAAGCCCTTGGCTAGGATAAAAGAAAAAAATGCACGTCAGTTAGGCTTTACAATTACAGACAACTAATAACATACACATATGTGGTATCTCCCTGCAAATCAGGAGAAGAACAATTCATTTTGTTTTTGTTTTTTTTTGTTTTTTGTTGGATCCAAAGCTACACTTTGAAAAAATAAATTTTTTTGACTATTTTGGGCCAGTTTTCCTTCGATAATAAAAAAAAAAAAAAATGGGGGATATCCATTAACATTGTAACCTTGCTAAAATATATTTATGTTTTGATTTTTCAGCAGCTTCCTATTTAAGTCAGGCCATGTACAATTCCCTAGAGAAGAGAGACGGCAGCGCCACTCTAAGTGTAGGTGGGTAAACTCAGGCAGATTTCATGGTAATATTGCACTCCCATAGGTAGGTAACAGGTACAATTCACGGTTTGTATCTTTTAATAGCGGCATTATGTAATCCTTTAATCACTTTGGAACAATGACCGTCTTTTCTATAGAAGCAAGAAAGTGTCCTGGCATCTGACAAGGTATCTAGGAGGTCTGTTTATCCTCCCTCTCCAGAAAATGATCTTAGGCCAGGTTCCCAGCTATGCAGAATGGGAGTGCACACAAAATTGTGTCTGTTCCTACATCGCACTAAAAATGTGAAATCCCTTTTGCAGGCAGGTGGCAGTGCCATAATTCTTAATGTTCCCCAACGCCCCTAGTTAACATGCATTGCAGATGAATGGAAACAAGGTACCATGCGCTTTGGTGCGGCACAATTTTGAAAAAAAAAAAATAATTTTACAATGGACATGCGCTTCTTTTGTGCAATTTTTGTGTGCAATTGTCCCTGTTGAAATCAGTCGGTAACCCTAAGGCCGATCCAACACAACAAACACTTTACTCCTGCGCTAGGAATGGACTCAGTAGACCCAATAGGAATGTTCTGGAATATTCTGGAATATGCGCTGCTTGCTGCCCTCTACAGACCGGGGTGGTCCAAATACACTAGATGCAAACGGAGAAACAAAAAAGGGCGCACCGACCTAGTGCATTATCTTTTAAAAAGATATTTATTGAAGGAACAAAGTAAGTATCATACTCACAATAGACATAAAAACACAGGCATGTCAAACTGAACAAGATGTATGATCCAAACAGCATCTTAGTCCATACGATGGAACCCTGGATGACCAACTGGCTAACGCGTTTCAAGGACACAACCTCTTCCTCAGAGCCAAGAAGAAGTTTTTATGTCTATTGTGAGTATGATACTTACTTTGTTCCTTCAATAAATATATTTTTAAACAATAATGCACTAGGTCGGTGCGCCCTTTTTTTTTCTTTTCTCCGTTTGCATCCAGTGTATTTGGTAACCCTAAGGCCGCATTCATACGGGCCTACCTATCTGTACTGCCATGCAAAGGAGCGTATTGCCTGCACACAATGCGCAGGTGTTGCATGCATCCACGTGCAGGTAGTCCCTCTCACGGCTGCTAGTCCCGATTTGATAGCCGCGTGGATGCATGTCCTCGGACGTAGACCACGTGGGCGTCTGTGCAGGCAAAGACTGCCCTTTGCATAGGCGTATGGATCGGTATGCCTGTGTGAATGAGGCCTGACCGTGACCTGACCGTGACCTGACCGTGACATGCAAAATTGTGCATGCACCACTGCACCTGCATAGGTGGTACTGGAGCCTTAGGCATGTTTGGGTGTGATTCATATGATCATTTTTAATAAACTCTTTACAAACCTGTTGTACTGCTTTGTAGCTCTTGTGTGCATTTTAGGCCACGGGCAAAGATCAATTATGACATCATACATTTTTTTTTACATTTTTTAAAATTTTTTTTATAAGGTGTATTATATGTATTCCGATATATGCATTGTGTTTCCACACACTCGCTAATATGCGTTGTAGGGAAGCAGCCCCTTCATTTTGAATTGGCAGCCAACACACAATTACAGTTATTTAATTATTTTATTTCAGGTACTTGTATAGCTCCGTCAATTTACGCAGCACTTTACATATATATTGTACATTCACATCAGTCCCTAACCCTCAAGGGGCGTACAATCTAAGGTCCCTAACTCACATTCATACATACACATACTAGGGACAATTTAGACAGGAGCCAATTCACCTACCAGCATGTCTTTGGAGTACCCGAAGGAAACCCACGCAGGCACAGGGAGAACATGCAAACTCCAGGCAGGAGGTGCCGTGGCTGGGATTCGAAAACCAACGACCCTAGTACTGCCAGGTGGAAGTGCTAATCATTTAGCCACTGTGCTGCCCATTTAGCCACTGTGCTGCCCAGTTTTAACTTCCCTGCATAATTATTATTTTAATGCCGCGGATCACAATGCAGAATTGGTTGACATGTTTATATTTTAGTGTGTTGAAACACAATGCATTGGCATAACGTGTTGGAACTCCATTCAAATTATAGCTCAGCACATTATACTGTAGTTCATTTTGTGCTTTATGGTGCTTTGCAGCAATGTGCAGTAGTACCGCATGCACAAATGTAAACTCTCCCTAGTGGGTTTGAGTCATTTTTATTTCAATCAGTGCAAAGAAAATCGAGTATTTAAAATGCTTACTTTGTTTAGGGTGCTGCTTTGGTACAATTAGCATTTTAGATTTTCTTTATAACATAGCAGTTCTTCACTTCCAAGCCTTCCGGTAGTGCAGCCATTCTCAACCAGGGTTCCTCTAGATCAGGGGTATTGAATTAAAATTCAAGGAGGTCCAGTCACTAAAATGTTCTTCTTGCCGAGGTCTGAATAGGGTGTGCCCATTAGTGTTCCCCCTTACATTAGGTGTCACCATTAGAGTGCCCTTATACATCAGG